AACAGCCTCCAGCTCAACATGCTTAGCAAAGCCCGTCATACCTTTTCCCACCTTTTGATATCAGGGAGGATGGTTTGGCTTGCAAATAATGGAAGACTGAAATAAAAATAACTTAAATCATCATGAAATTTTATATTTTACTCAATGAATGTGGGTAAAAAACAGTTCTAGGTTGGTTGATTCAGTGGTACTGAGGGGCCAGTTTCTTCCCATTTGCTCATTTTTCTATCTTCAGGTATTGGGTTGGTTTTTTGAATTGATTTCCCTTTGGCTCGCAAAAGTCATAGCAGCTCTGTCACAGGAGCCCGATGGCACTAGGTGCCATAGGACATAACTGGCTTACTAGCTTGAGCCAGGTGTGAGAGCCTCTGAGTGTTTCCAGCCCCTGCTCTGCTAAACCCTGGCCGTGACTGCAGCCTGCAGGTCAGTCCCAGGGCTCCAGCAGTGGTGAAACTTACCTTCACCCCATATGAGCCACAGGAAGAGAGACCATGTTGCTGCAGTTTTCCCCAGCCTATGGATCATCTCCTGAGGTTCCAACTTCAGGGGTGCCCTCTCTGGCTCCTGGGGTGAGCATCCAACTCCACTGAAGCCTGCTAGGTAAGGTGAGCATCTTGGCCCCCTGCATGGTTCCACCTTGGCCCTGCTGAAGGGCAAACTACTGATTTGAGACCACCTGACTTCAGCGTAGATCAGATTTGAACACGTGGCTGGGGTTTCACTTTCAAATGCCATGTCAGAATTATAAATGGACTTATCAGGTTCAAACTCCCAACGGACCAATCATGTTTGAATTTTCACCAATGTCATTCAAGGTTTTTGAGACCATTCAGGATTGTGACTGAACCAATTTGATTTGAGCGCCACGGGCATCAATCAAATAGCTGGAATTGTAAACAGACCAATGAAAGACAACGACTCTGAAGGGGATAAAAGCCAGGGCAGCAGTCAGCTGAGCCCATTCACCAGACAGTTTCAGATCGATTCTTCAGGACTCCTGGAAAGAGATTTGCAGTCAGATTCGTTGGGAAGATTCCTTGGGGCAAACCTTTATAGACCTTCAAGACATTTGCAGAGATCTTCTGAGACCTCTGAGACCTCCACAGGCCTTCACATCTGATCTTTATTTCAAACTGCAGCCTGACTGTTGCCCCTACCCCTGGTCCTGCCTCTGACATCACCTGCAGAGAGCACTGGCAGCCTGTGCCAGTGTCTCTAAAAGAGCTCTTTGCTGTTGGCTTATGCCCAGCATAAGAGCTATTTGCCATTGTGAAAAGAAAGTGGAGTAGTGGGGTGACTGTTGGAGAGTCAACCAACAGGTTGACCATCATGACTATACTCTTGAACAGCAACTCCCAATTTTCTCACTCCTACCACTGGTACTCTTTACAATTCTACTCCAACCCAGGTTTGCTTGTCATCTTCCTCCCTCTCTACTCCAATCACACCAAGCTATTTCCATTGCCTAACTCAACATTATGCTTTGTCTCTTTTGTTATGCTCTTCTCTAAACCTGGAATCAGTAAATCCCTTTGTTATCTGGGAGCATAACAGCCTCCTTTGTATCTCCACTCAACCCCAGATATCTTCTAGTATGGCTCCATTGTATTTTTTATGGTTCCTTGTGAACTCTAAGTTTTTTTTTTTTTTTTTTTTAAGGCAGAAAACTTCTAACTTCTATATGCTCAGTGTGATCTTAGCACAGTGAGATCACATAGTGGGTTTCAACAAAAAGTACATGTTGTATCAGAGAGCTCCTCCTGATTAGAAAATGTTTCCTCTGTCACTGTCAATTTTCTCCCCATTCTCAACACATATGCACAAATTCTTCACTTATGCTTCAAATGGCACTCAGATCACTGGGCTCAGGGAAGATGTCCATCCTGTTTCAGGAACAAGATACTTTTTGGACCAGAGTATTTGGAAGGACACATACCAGCAAAAACTATGCCAGAAAACTGAATATCCCCCCTCCCCCAACAAGTATCATACTTACCAATATTCTCTGAGATCAGAATCCTTATAAAACTCCACTACTATAATAAATGGACAGAGGTCACAGAATATTCTAGCAATAAGGGAATTCATGAGAATATTTTTTCCCTAAGTAGCATTAATACAATTTCAGTACTTAAGATGAGTCTCAGTATTGAAGTGGGTCTGGATCTTGCCCAAGTTGCTGGACAAGCTGCCTGCTTGTGTGCACATGTCCGTGTCACTCATTGCTGAGGGAATATGAGCCCCAGCTGGAATGTGGGCATTTCATGTGGCGGGGTACACAGGAAGGTAGGGCAGCATTGCAAGTCAACACATTGCAAGTCCTGCAGGTGCCCTGAGGAGTGGCTGCCTTCAGTTAGAGAAGATTGTGCGCTGCCCAGATTGTGGGAAGATATGCAACCTTTGGCTGGTTCCCTCTGGAGTGCACAGCATGCCCGGGACTCAGGCTCCTGCAGCAGGCTGGGTGTGTACACTGACACGCGCGCTATCAGAGCTACGGCTGCTCATGCTCACGGAGAAAGCAAGTGCTGAGACCACTTCTCTGGTAAAGTTAGCTGAGCCCTGGTGGGCGTGTGAGGGTTTACCGCCCATGTTCACTTCCAGCTTCTGCAGGCTCCTGTGCTTGGGCGATGAGGTTTGGAAATCTGAGCACCAGTCAGGTGGGAACAAAACAAGTCCACAGGCAGGAAATTTTGTCTTCACATGCCCTTCCCACACCTGCCGCTTCTCCATTCCCTCTCCCCTCCCTCCCATAGGCACTCAGCAGCTCACCCAGCGCAGGGCTGTCAGGAGAGGATCTGATCTTTGCCATTCACACCTGAGCATGAAGTTAAGCGCCTCTATTGCATCTCCCAGGAATACTTGCCAATTAAATCTGCTACCACTTGTAGAATGAAATACATTGTTCGCTGTTAGTTTCAAGCCAAGGCTAGAACATGTGGCTTAAATGTCTTTGATGTGTGCATATGTGTGTGCTTTTGTAGCCTTTGCTCCTCACAGTCCCTCAGGAGAGAGGAGAGTTATTAGCATTTTCATTTTACAGAAAAAGACCTGTATGTATGTGACTCTGAGCCAGTGTGACCCTGCTGGGAAGAGAGTCCCATGGCTGCTGAGTGGCAAAAGCCCCCAGGGCTACATCCTGAAGCCAGTAGCCTCTATGTGACAAATCCTCAGGTGACATTTCCCTCCTCTGTCCACGCCCCGCGGTCAAAGATGCCAGGATGCTACTCCATACTGTATCCTGATGAGCCAGCGTCCCAGGGCAGCTAGACTGCCAACTGGGATTCTAGGGGTTCCAATAGCTGCAAGTGTCAGCCAATTCTAAAGGACTCACTGCCCTCCCTAAATCAGCCAATCTCTTACCAACTTTTTAAGGCCAAGCGATTCTCTTCACTCCTCCATGTCCTTTCATTTCTCAATATCAGAATTTGATTTTCCCACTTGCTCCTAGTTTACAAACTCCCTTCCTACTTTGTTTTCTTAGTGCAGTTTCCTCCCCAGAAACTAGGTGAGTGGGCTGTGGACCAGGGCATCTGTCGTCACCGGGCATGCGTAATTGTGTTTGCGACTTGCTGGAGATGAACTGGGAAAGGCAAAGAAAAAGTCCTTTAGGAGGCAGAGACGACCGGGGAAATATTGTGCTCTGTGAAACAGATAAGCAGAAGAGCTGTTTATTCCCTTGGTGGCGTGAGGCCCGGCTTTGAGGCAGATAAATCTTTGCTGGTAATACAGTACTTAAACCAGAACTGACACCTTTTTATATCAACTGCAGAGAATTGCTTTTGTGAGGCTCTGATACAAATGCTGCTGCTGCTCTTTCTTGCATATCAATTCCTCAGCAGCCTGTTGCTTATCTCAGCCTGCCCTTTGAGGCGCTGCCCCTGGCTGCAGCATGGCATCAGGGCCTGAGAATGGTAGGGAAGGAGAAATGGCTCGAAAAATGGGAGCCCACAAGTATGGATGGAGTTGGGGTGTTCGCCTGATATGAGGGCCCTCCTCTCCTTCCCTCCCCACCCTAACTCCTATGCTAGGGCCCCGAAGCAGCTGGTGGCCAGAGTGGATGGCCCAAAAGCAGTCACTGTCCATGCCACCTTGGCCAAGTACTGGACCCAGAGGCAGATGAGCTCAAATTATTTTTAACTTTGTTCCTTAATAGACTAAAATATACTTGCTGCAGATGAACTGGATAATACCAATAAACAATAAGAAAAAAAGAAAAAAAACTGCTCATAATATTTTATTGTCGATCCTTCCAAGGGTAAGTGTACATAATGTGTACATACAATACATAGGCAGCTTTTATAGAAAGGAAGCCATTCTGCTCCATTGGCTGCATGTCTGTGCCTTCTTCAAATCACTACCCCCCAATGTGGCTGTACTTGGAAATGGGGCCCTTATTTTTTTAAATTTCTTACATTTCTTACATTGCTGTTCATTTTAGTACAATATTTGATTATCCCCTTCATGCATTGTACCCATAATTCTCCCACTACCACAGCACCCATGACCATCACCATAGTCCTTTATGCTCTTCTCTCCCCTGTTTTGGACCTTCATCCTCTCCCTTCCCTCCTGAATGCGTCAGATCTATGGTTTGCCTGCAAGTTTTGTCTTTTTCCTGATCCTTTGTTTGGTTTCCCTATATTCCCCCTGTAAGTGTGACCATCTAATATTTTTCTTTTACCTTCTGATTTTTCTCACTTATCATGATTCTTTCCAGCTCCATCCACGTTGCTGCAAATGTCACGAGTTTATCATTTTTGATTGCTGAGTAATATTCCAGTGTGTATATATAACACATCTTGATCTATTCATCTATTTGGGGGTATTTATGTTGTGTCCATATCTTAGCTACTGTAAATAGTGCTGCTATGAACACAGGAGTGCAGGTTTCCCTTCAAATTAGTTTTTGTGTCCTTTGGCTAGATTCCCAGGAGTGGAATCATGGAGATGGGGCCTTTATGGAGGTAACAGAGGTGAAATAAAGGGCTCTTATTTGATAGGACAAGTGTCTGTGAAAGAAGGGATGCCAGAGAATTCCCTTCCCCTCCAACAAACGAAGACACAGGAAGGTGGCCAGCTGCCTGCAAGCCAGGAAGAGAGGTATCGCCAAGAAACAGATGACTGACAGCTGGACCTGGGATCTCCAGCCTGCAGAACTGTGAGAAAATTCACATTTATTGTTTAAGTACTCAGTCGATGATGTTTTTTCTGGCAGCCTGAGCAACTAATTCATGCTCTCTGCATAGAATTTCCCTACTTTGACTCCATTTTCTGTTTCAGCATCTGATATACATTTCTCTAGCACATAGTCCTACAACGTCATGGAAGGAGCTGACGTGGCCACTCCTCTGGCCCTCAGGACTCTCTGTGTCTCTTGAATACCATTCTACTTTTCTGTTTGACTAAGGCCTTCCTTCATCTTCCCTCCATCTAAGTTGATGTTCCACTATAGGTAACACAGAACTTGCAGATGTGATTTTGACATGGTTTATTATCGCTTACATGACTTGTCAAATTAATCTCCTCAAGACTCAGTTTCTCAGCCTATAAAATAGGCAGAACAAATCAAACTGATAATTTTGGCTGTGTGACTAAGGTGTGGACCACTTAGGAAAATATTAATTAGCATGGGGGCTGGTAAATAGATGCTCAATTCAACCTAAAATAGGACTTTGCCCTCCAGGGTTTCCCCTCCACACTGGGCCTTAGTCTCCTGTGGTCCACTGAGCTGAGCAGCCCCTGGGCTCTCTGGCTGAGCTTGTGGCCTGGCCCATCTCTCCTTGGTCGGGGACGGGTTTGCAGAAGGGGGGTCCCTTTTTCCCAAGGACCCTGCTTCCTCCTAGCACCTCTGCTTTTGCTGCTCCAAGGGGCTCTTTTTATTTTTAAAAAAAAATTTATACATTTAAAAAAAAATTATTTCCTTACATTGCTGTTCATTTTTGTACAGTATTTGATTTCTCCTCTCAGGTGATCTTTAATTCCAAGGATGTGCAACAGAGAGGGTCTCCATCCTGATGGTTATTTTACATTTCCCTAAAACAAATTCACAGGTCCTTTTTTTAAATCATGGGGTTAGCTGCTGATTGTTTTAGGGTAAACAGTGCCACATACTAGTTAGTGAAGTCACTTTGCTTTCAGGAACATTATTCTCAGCAAGACCAGATGGAGATCTGTCCCTGACTCTTTTTCCCAATGATCTCTTTGGCTACTGCCATGGAATTGGTATTATTCTTTCCTAGGCCAGCTCATAGCGCACCCACCCCAGCTCTTCCAAAGCACCAGCTCCCTCCTGGACCAGCGCATCACGTGTGGCACAGAACCTGTAGCTGTGGGCACTTGGCAGAGCTGGAAACCCACGTCCCCTGCCAATCTATAGCTTCCTCTGCAAGCAGCTGCCACCACACAATGGAATTAACATAAAACACAACTCTGCAAAGGCACATTTAATTTACGGTGATTATACTATCTATTATACAACACAGTTTTAAGTACTACAAGCTCCCTGGAGAATGGGGGGAAAAAACACATGTAAAAAGAACCCAACCCTCTCCAAAATCACATAATGACAGAAGAATCTTAGTAACAAAATACAATTCATGGCATAATAAATAGACTATTTTAAAGTAGTTAACATTTCTCAATTCTCTATTTCATTCCCATCAGGATCTCAGTTTATTTCTAGTGGAGGAAAAAAAAAAAATGTGTCAACAATTTAAAGTGTAGAGAGACAATTAGAGCTGAGTGTGGGTTCTTCCAGGAAGCTGTTTCAGGGTGAACATGGGGTGGGTTTCCGAGAGGATGGAGTGACTCGGTGTTGCCCACCACACAGCCTATCCTTGCCTTCAGACTCTCCACCCTCTGCAGACAGAGCAAATACATTGGGTCCTGCCATATAATTCCCGGGGAGCACAAGGCCAATGCTATTGTGTCCCCCCCGTCAGGTCTCCCCTATGTGAGAGGGCCCTCAAAGACGGTATGAATAACTGGAGTTTTGACGTTCTCCAGCCCTGACGCCAGCACGCTCTGTTCTGTGGCCCCTCTGGGCTCAGAATGGGGAAAACAGTGGTCCTTCGAGCTGGCCAAGGGTCCAGTATAGCAGGAGTTCAGTACTCCTTTCTTATCTCCTTGTATCTTTCTGCCTTCTACTCCCTTCCTTCCTATAGTAAGTGGAGAGTCCTTGCTTAAAGGGATGGCTTGCCTCTCAAGTAGCTCTAGGGAGAGTTTAGAGACAAGATCTGAGCTATTTTCAATAGCCTGAGTCTCGAAGGTATGCATCAGCTTAAAGGTGTGTGCAGGTGTGAACCCCATCTAGAAGCTAGTGGTCTGTGGGATGAGGCCATCTCATACCCACCCCACCCCACCCCAAGCCACACAGTCTAAGGAGTGGTGTGTGTGAGCAGTGTGACATGATGGTCTTAAATCAGGAGGGAGAACAGATCGTGGCAAGGAAGGAGTAAGCAGCCTCTGGCTCCAGTGGTGTGAAACACACAGACCACGGGCAGGATCCTACCTGAGCTCTCAGCATCTGGCCCATGTCAGTACCAACTGACCATCGCTGCTGTTATCAAGGGAAAGAGGGTATATCTCAACCTTTCTCCAGAGCTTGCTTAGGAAAAGTTATTTCCACGAGTTCTTCTGTGTAACTCAAGGTAACACTGACCAGCTGGCTTCTGTGCTGCCCCTGACGTGAAGCCCGACTTGAGTTTATCTGAAGATGAACAGGATTTTGTCTGGCTTTGTAAAGAGTGTGCCTTTCAGACAGCACACAAGACAATAGAACATTTCAGAGTAAGGTGGGAGTCTGCAAAGAGCTAAAGCAAACCAAAATGTAGGCTTTCAAAGTGCAAGGCACCATCTCCCCTTGATGTGGATGGAGGAAATTTCAGCCTCAACATGGCCGGTCATGTTTGGGATTTGGGGTTTGGGGTGGCTGTGTGTGGTGGTGCAGCCACCACATGCTGGACTTAACATGCGGGACCCTCATGCTGGCCTTAACACTGGCTTTCTGAGGCCACACTTCTTGGGGCTGTAGTATGACCTGATTATGACTAGAAAGAGTCACTTAATACTAATCATTCTCTCCTATATTAAGTGAGAGAAGCAGATATCAATCAGTCCACACATATTTACTACACACTTTATCTGTTCCCGGTAGCTGGAGAGCTGAGTTCTTTAGGGGATATAAAATTATAACCAATATGAATAAAATTTGACAGTTTACAGAATAGTTTATCACATATTTTGTGATCCTCACAACAAATCTGTAGAGTCAGGCAAAATATAATATAAATATGAATATAATTTCACATGCTACTTAATCTTCATTATTATAATCATTTTTAAGAGCAAATCCTGAGGCACAGAAATGTTCAGTGTGTTGATCAAGGTCACACAGCTAATACGTGGTGATGTTGAGAAGCTTGGGAATGGGATTCTAAATCATGTGCACTTTTCAGAGTTTCATTCTGCCTCTTACAAATATATGCGAGCAGAGCTGTGGTGTTTGAAGATTATTGCTGAAATATCTAGAACTGTATGTAATATGAATTCCAAAAATATTGCTGACCCTTGGGTTGCATATATAAATGAAAGGGGAAATAAATCATCCTTTCTGCTAAGAAAGCTCCACACTCTAAGCGTTTACTCAACTTAATGAAGTGCCAGAAGTCTCATCGATTAACCCTTGTGTTAGCCAAACTTTTCCTTTCTCTCTGTTTCTCTGGTGTTTACAATCAATACCTTCATATGAAAGTATTGGCCCCTTATTCTAACTTTTCTACTTGATCCCTTTTTACCTCCAATTGCCACCCTCACACCTTCTCTGGGTCCAAAGATTATGACCCACATTTTCTCTGTTGTTGCTGCAGATCTGAACAGAGTGCATCTAAAATTTTGCCATCAGCTTAACATATTTACAATTGCGCTTTTCCAAAAATTTTTCAGAATAGGAAAAAAATATATCATTTAGCTCATCTGCATTGGGCACAAAGAAGCCTCACCCATTAGAATCTTAGAACTCAGCTTTGGAAGTGAGAGCAAGGCTGATACTTGGGTCCATAGACTCCAACAGACTCTAAGTGGAGTCCGGATTGGTTTGCTGGTGGAAGTGAGGCTGGGGAAGGTGGAATATTGGAAGGATTTCAAACGGGAAAAATATAATGTAGTTCAGCTTGTTGACAATTTCCTTCTAGAAAACAGGGAAGAAACAAAGCACCTCAACATAGAAAGTTCGCTACTATGTCAGAACCACTTACATAAATGATCTAGTTGGAAAATAAGCCAATTTAGCAAAGAGGAAAAGTTTGGAGATGAAGTAGACCTGCTTTATCTTCAGGTGATTTACATGAAAGGAAAAAAGCAGGAAAGGAAGGAAGGAAGAAGGGACGGAAGGAGGAAGCAGGAAAGAAGGAAGGAAAAGCCATTTCATGAAGACCTGGAGATGCCACATTGGAATGCAAGCACGAAGGCTTCTGTTTAAAATGGAGCCAAAAGACAGCAAGCCCCACAGACAGGGATAGCATCTCCTCATTTTCTTCTGCAAAGACATAAAAGGGGTAAAGCATCAGATGCTCGTGACTTTCCTGAAGCCTGATTTTTACAGATAATTGTAAACACAAGGAAGAAAAATGGAGAGGAAGGAGCGAGGAGTCAAAAAGCAGGGGAAAGATAAAAGTCAAGGGAAAGGAGAGATGAGGAAAGGGAAGAGAAAAGACAGGGGGACGGAAAAGAGAAACTGGAGATGAAGAGCAGGAAAGGGAAGACTAATTATAATAAAGTAAAAATCAAAATCAACAAGCAACTATAAACCAGAGACAAACTACGGGAGGAGGGAGTAGGGTCAAAACAAGGGGGGTGGGAATTGTATGGGGACTATAACCAAGATGAAAATGCATACATTGTGCAAAAATGAAAAATGCTATAAAAATATATAAAATTAAGAAAAAAATAATTTAAAAAAGAATAACAAAAGGTATGTGATTTGGGGAAGGAAAAAAAAAGAGAGAGAAAGCTTGATTCCATTCTAAGGCCATCGTCACTGTGGATGTACAGACAGAGCTGGGGTAGAGGAGGGGGTCCAGGCGGTTGTGCAACTATTATTATATAATTAAGTCTAATAACAGTAATTCACTGGCAGAGGTTGCTGCCTGCATTGTGGAT